CAATATACCCTGGCTTGACTTAGCAGAATTTCGGAATTTCGGAGTGAGTGTACAGTCAGAGTCAAGGCACTCTGCTGCGTGAAGCTCCGAATCCTGAAGTCCTGGGTTTGGGCTGTCTGGCTGCCTGTCAGGAAGGACTTCAGCTTCCTGACTCTCTGACAGCGCCCATACTGCCATGGCTCCTAAGAACCTTAGCCAAGCCTGTGATAGCCTTTTCCCCTGCCTGTGCTTTTCCGTGCAAGTTACTGCGTCCAGTCACTGTGCCGTGTTCTCACACGCCACGCCATTGGACCATGCGACAATGGCTGCGGAAGACCCCCAACGCAAACAAAAAATGAGAAGACCCCATATACGGCCAACGCGTTGTTTTTTGGCCGCCCTACTGCGCCTACCTGATGGGCGTGGTTGCCTGGATTTGAACTGGGGTTTGGCAAGACGTAGTCCAAGAACAGTAGTCAGTCTGTACTGCGCTGCATGCTGTATATGAACGTACAACTGTCTGCCTGAAGAGGCTATGTTATGTTGCACTATGTTCTGGTTTCGCACGCTTAAACTTAAAATTATGTTATGTTTGAGCTACGCTGCATGCAGCCAGTGATGCTGGCAAACTTGTTGGTACATGGTACACGATGTTCGTTCGTCAGTTAGAAACTGGTTAAGAAAGAAAGTGATGAAACTGCAAGTTGGGACCCAACGACAGTGGTAAAGTAATGCGGGCGAAGTAGAAACAATTGTGGCAATCGACAAATGTTTGGACTCCAGTTGCTCGAGTTCAATGTTGGTGGATCTCCAGCCAGTTGTGTACTCTGCATGTTGGCTGTTGCCCGTGGCAACTACAAAGCAGTTGGGAAACACAAAAATTACTAATTCATCAAACTAAACTAGAATGCAAGAAGCACGGTTGTACATACAATAATTACTACTACCTCAAAGACAAAATGAAATATTGTAGTCCAGTCTATATTGTTGGCGGAATATTGATACCGGATAAGGACACTGTGCGTCATCAGGCTCTTTATTTGGCTCCTCGGTGAGACTAAACATTTAAAAACCTGCTCAGGGTGCACACGCAAACATGATGCTACAGGCCGCAGGCTATACTTTACTGAGTAATGCTGCTGCTAGGCTATGATTCTGAAAACTGTATAAAGTAGAAAGTATACAAGTAAGGTCCGGCAGAGCCGGGGGGCGGAAGTTTCAAAGCAGTGAACAACTATAGTTTGGAGAACTGTCCTTGGCCCCTTGCTTCTCTCTCTCTCTCTCTCTTTTTCTCTCTTTCTCTCTTTCTCTCTTTCTCTCTTTCTCTCTTTCTCTTTCTCTTTCTCTTTCTGTTTCTCTGTCTCTTTCTCTCTCTCTCTCTCTCTCTCTCTCTCTCTCTCTCTCTCTCTCTCTCTCTCTCTCTCTCTCTCTCTCTCTCTCTCTCTCTCTCTCTCTCTCTCTCTCTCTCTTTCCTCTTTCCAAAGCTCCCAACGAGCGCTTCAAGTTCAACTCTCCTCCCTCCCCCCCGAGAGCGCCTTTTCTTTGCGTCTGCCCTTGCTATCCCCTAGCTCGCAGAGTGTGGATACAGCACCTTGCGAAAGTGCTGCGCCTGCCACGAAATCTATACTTGACCTTGCGAAAGTGCTGCGCCTGCCACGAAATCTGCACTTGACCTTGCGAAAGTGCTGCGCCTGCCACGCACTCAAACCTTGCGAAACCTTCACGCGGCCGTGCCAATGGGCCCGTTTCCGAACCCGTTCCGCGCCCGCTCCGAGACCGTTCCGAACCCGCCTCCGTACAGGCGTCGCAGCCGAGGTGGTTTGCGCACTGTCCGAAAGCCCAAGTCACGCACAGCGCCAACGTTTTCTGCATCTTGCCATCCCCCAGCTCGCAGAGAGTGGACGCAGCACCTTGCGAAAGTGCTGCGCCTGCCACGAAATCGATACTTGACCTTGCGAAAGTGCTGCGCCTGCCACGAAATCTATACTTGACCTTGCGAAAGTGCTGCGCCTGCCACGCAATTCAAACCTTGCGAAACCTTCGCGCGGCCGTGCCAATGGGCCCGTCTCCGAACCCGTTCCGAGACCTTGAGACCGTTCCGAGACCGTTCCGAGACCGCCGCCGTACAGGCGTCGCAGCGAGGTGGTTTGCGCACAGTCCGGAAGCCCAATTCACGCACAGCGCCAACGTTTTCTGCATCTTGCCATCCCCCAGCTCGCAGAGAGTGGACGCTTGCGAAAGTGCTGCGCCTGCCACGAAATCGATACTTGACCTTGCGAAAGTGCTGCGCCTGCCACGAAATCTATACTTGACCTTGCGAAAGTGCTGCGCCTGCCACGCAATTCAAACCTTGCGAAACCTTCGCGCGGCCGTGCCAATGGGCCCGTCTCCGAACCCGTTCCGAACCCGTTCCGAACCGTTCCGAGACCGTTCCGAGACAGCCTTCCGAGACAGGCGTCGCAGCCGAGGTGGTTTGCGCACAGTCCGGAAGCCCAATTCACGCACAGCGCCAACGTTTTCTGCATCTTGCCATCCCCCAGCTCGCAGAGAGTGGACTTGCGAAAGTGCTGCGCCTGCCACGAAATCGATACTTGACCTTGCGAAAGTGCTGCGCCTGCCACGAAATCTATACTTGACCTTGCGAAAGTGCTGCGCCTGCCACGCAATTCAAACCTTGCGAAACCTTCGCGCGGCCGTGCCAATGGGCCCGTCTCCGAACCCGTTCCGACCGTTCCGAGACCGTTCCGAGACCGTTCCGAGACCGTTCCGAGACCGTACAGGCGTCGCAGCCGAGGTGGTTTGCGCACATTTCCGGAGTTTGGCGTCAGCCGAGGTCTCCGGAAGCCCAATTCACGCACAGCGCCAACGTTTTCTGCATCTTGCCATCCCCCAGCTCGCAGAGAGTGCTTGCGAAAGTGCTGCGCCTGCCACGAAATCTATACTTGAGAAAGCTATCTACGTGTTAAGCTGGCTATATGTCAAAGCTATCTATCTGTCATGCAAGCCTATTGGAAAGCTATCTATCTGTCAAGCTAGCTATATGTCAAAGCTATCTATTTGTCATGCTAGCTACCTGTCATAGCTATATGTCAAAGCAGCTAGCTCATTTAGTTCCAGTACTACGGAAGTTTCTTGTTAAACTTCCTTTGATGATGTTAAGTTACGTGTGCCTCACTTTGGCAGCAAACAACTGGGAAAAGCAAAGGGCCAAACAAGGGAAGGTGGCTAAGGTGGTGTGGTGTTTGATAGTCTTGTCTTGGGCACAGGCAGCCTGCCATGGACAAAGGGATGTAGCTTAGGCAACTGGGTACCCATGATGACAAGATACAACTCCCCACCATCACTCTCACCACACAAGTTCAGCTTCCCGGTTTTGCCACAAGGCTTAGCGACACAAAGCCCGTCACAAAGCCGGTTCCCTTGTTCTTGCCACTGGGAAATGCACCCATGGCCCATGGAGATTTCCGTAGCACTTAAAGTTGAACTTAGTCAATGATGAGCATAAGAAAATTAACAATCGAGTACTTGTATATTAAATTATAGCCCAGTTAACTAGACTATTATAACGACTAGGACTATAAATATTAACTTAAAACATAAATAGACTGCCAACTCATCGAATGTAGCTACCTGGATTTTAGACTGCTAGACTAGACTTCTACACTGGACTGCTACACATTGGTAATATAGGATATGACGATGATCCGATATATAGATAACAGATATATTTATTACATCATTATAATCTTCCAGATCGATGTCAATGGCGATTCATTTCATGCAATAATGATAATGGTTAACCTGACTAATTTATATTCAATATTAATACATTAATTACTAAAGTATCAGTAGTATCAGTAGTATCAGACTATCAATTGAATGATAATTAATATCAAGTAAAGTCAAGTAGGCAAATTATTTTGACATTGGTCCAGGTTCACTTGTGACATGGCCTACAATTCCGCCTATGTGAGTCTGTTCCCAACTTATGTCTTAGGACGTTTATGGCTTTTGTAAACAGCTTCAGGGGTCCATGGGTTTTATAAATAGTTCTGAACAAAGCGCACAACAAATTATAAATAGCTCCATGGAGTTTATAAGTACAGTAGTTCTGAAAAACTGAAACTAAAAGAATAGATCGATAGATCAATCAAATATAACAGATGTTACAATTAGTTCTGCAAGGAATCGTACATTTTTATAAACTACTCCATCGATTTTATAAATAGCTCTGAAAGAAACTATAATTTTTATAAATAGCTCCGTGAATTTTGTAAATAGCTCTGGAATAATTTGAATTGTTTTAAAAATAGCTCCGCGGAATTTATAAATAGCTCTGAAAGAAATTGCAAAATTTATAAATAGCTCCATGAATTTTATAAATAGCTCTGAAAGAAATTGTAAAATTTTATAAGTAGCTCCATGGATTTTATAAATAGCTCCATGGATTTTATAAATAGCTCCATGGATTTTATAAATAGCTCCATGGATTTTATAAATAGCTCTGAAAGAAATTGTAATTTTTTATAAATAGCTCCGTGAATTTTATAAATAGCTCCTTTACATCAAAGTGTTAAGGCCTGGTTTTTTAAATAGCTCTGGGGGTTTTATAAATAGCTCCTGGATTTTTATAAATAGCTCTGGACAAAGACACATTTTCTCACCGAGAAGCCAAATAAAGAGCCTGACGCGCCTCCTAACACAAGCATGATATGTTTAGCGAAACCTCCCTTTGGGGAGATGTTTGTTTGGGCTTCCATGTTGATTTTGCAGAGGAGATATCATAAACGAGTTGGCGGATTCTGGCCAGGGCTTGCCATTTCGGAGAGGAATTCACCCTCGGGCAGCACCAACCTTGAATTGCCCCGCCTTGGCTTCTGTGTTCCATTTGAAAGGAAGCGATCCATTGAGCCTGCGAGGTTCACAAAAGCGACAAAGTGCTGTTTCCAGATAGTCGTCGTATGAGCGATAAGTATAAACATGAGCTGTTCCCACTGGTGACTCGCGACGGCGCCCTCGAGGATCCTTGATGGCATTGGCCTGGCTTGCCATCAATATCTTCCTGTGGTGCCTTTGGAGACTGGATATGCGCCAGAGTTGCTTGGCTCGTGGGTTTGACCTGCCCTTCAGCTTTTGGCTGAGGTTGCCTAGCAGAAGGCAGAAGGCGCTTCGTTGCACCGGGGATGTCAAACATGTTCACAAATCAGAGAGGTTACCGTTGCCCGACGACCCCATTATTTCCTCCCTTGATGCATCTTTTCTGAGACTTGCCTATATGAAAGGAATGCTCGTGCGGCTGTATCCCTTCATTTTTGGCAACATAAGCTCTATTAAGTGGTTTCCTTTAAGGAAAGGTTGGAAGTCTTACGGTTTTTAAACTTACCCTGATTGGTAGATGACGAAATTCATCCTTTGAGATTTGTCGTCCCTGGGCTAACAAACATGCAGTGAATGGTGCCGTCTTCCCTCATGCAACAACGCCCCCTGAACATTTGCTCCCCCGACCCGGAGATGCTGTCCAAGAGGCGGGGGCGGGGGTTGCTATACACAAGCGGCTTGACAATTGGCTTAGGCTGATTTAGAAGATGGCCGCAACTTATAGTAACATGAAACAAATGGTGCCATGTTCGCTGATGTCCACAATCCAGCCGAGGGTCTTGCTGTTTGCTGGTCTTTTCAGCCGCCAAGGTTGGTCCTCGGTGTACGAAGACAACAAGGACCGAATTTCCCACCCCTTCGTTTGGGGGGCCATAGAGTTCTAGTAGGCACTGTCTGGGCGCACAAGCCCCCAAGCCGTGCAAAACCTAGCCTCGTGCCAATTAGAACCGAAGCATAGTTTCGAATCGGCTTCCGCATTCAGATGGATCGAGTTTTGCTAGGTCGACCCAATGCCTCACAACCCTGTGTGAGGTAACCCTTGGTTTGAAAACCATCGGCCATAGGAATCAACCCCACACTCAAGACCGACACCGGTTTTTCGGAGGCCCGGTAGGTCCAACTGAAGAATTGGACGGCAAATGGTGTGGGAACATATTTGGCACGTGAGAGGGTGCTCCAAAACTGGCGGTTTGTCCTCTCCCTGTGCCTTGTTCGGCCCTTCGCCGCGCCAATTTTGTTCGCCCCTTTTCTTTGGGCTACCCCGACAAGGAGCCCTACGCACCAGTGCGAGAATGCACAAGGCGCGTAGCCTAGGTCTTAAACCCGATCGATCTTTGCCGGTCAACACTCCACAGATCCCCTGGTCCGTCGATGTGTCAGGTGTGCCCTTCACTCGTGGAAGCCTTTGCCACCAACCACAACAACCCCCCTATTCTTGCCTGGTTGGTTAACCAAGATTGCGAAGCCCACTTTTCAGCATTTCAGCCGGCGTCAAAGCGAAATCAAGATGCACTATGGTCGACTTGCTGGGTTCCTTATTCGAGAAAGTAGTGTCGTTCTTTCCTTGTCGAGCTTATTTATTTTATGAGCAAGTGATCCGCTCTGTTTGAAAGACTGCAGGAACCCTCATGATCGGCCCCTTTTGTGAGTTGTGGGAAGAAAGGTTTGGCACCTCTTGTTGTTTTGGTCCAGGGTTGTGGGATCAAGGGGGAGAAACCCACTTCTGTGATACAAGGGAATCCCCCTTTATAAGAACAAAAGAGTCTTTGGGAAGCCCTTTCTGTTGTATCACAGAAGTGGTCATTCCCCACAACCCTGTTTTGGTCCGTGAGCAGTTTTTTGGTTTGGCGCATTGCATTCGATGAATCCGTGACTTGGCTTTGAATGCAGACTCGCTTCGTTGCAAGTCACGTTCATAGGATGAATGTTTACATCCAACCACCAAGAACACCCGTGTGTGGAATGTTGGGCACGCCCTTTCGGAAGTTCCTCACTGTCACAATCCACGCAAACATTTGGCCAATTACGAAAGCGGGTCGTTTGGACCCGTGAATCTTGCAATTTCGCGGCAGTGCCAAATTCGCAGGCAACAGGATGTCCTTCATTGCATGTGCTTCACGAGTGTTGCTACTACTTTGCCTAAATGGATCCCTCCGGAACCGTCAGAGGTGGAGAACCATTTGCGTGCCAGATTGATCAACTACAGTTTGGTATCTCTAGAAAGGCACCTTTCTGATGGTCGAACATCCAGACTGCTTGCTGAGTTTGGGCGACCCAGCACGCATAGTATTGAATTTGGTGCTAAAGAACCCGACTAGCGTAATTATTTTGGAAAGAACAAGAAAGTCAATGTTTATTGTCCAATGCGTTGCTTAGCTTCACGTACCAAATCGCATTCAATCATTCAAACTGCAAAGGCTGCCTCCTTTGTTGCACATCGCAAATTGTAAACGCTTCGCGTTGCCCGCCTCGGCCAGTCCGCTTTTGGCTGGCTTTGAGGTGTACACCGTGCTGTAGTTTGCCTTGAAGTCTTGTGTTTATTAACTGAGTGAGTCGGCACCAAAATGCGTGAGCTGGTTTCCAAGGTAGAGGGTGTGTGCATGTCTGTGTGTTTCCACACGGCTTCAAGGGCCAGAACAAGAGCGGAATTGACTGGTTGGGGGGAATTTTACCGGTTTCTGGAGGGATTTGATCGGAGTTGGAGGGATGACAGGTTTCTAGAGGGGAGCTTAATTGGCTTCTACAGTTTCTTATAAGGGGGTGTTTGATTGGTTCTGGAGGGGAAATTGACCGGTTTTAAGGGGGGTTCGAGGGAATTGACCAGAGTTGGACCAGCTTTGAGAGGGGATCTGGACCGGCTTCTGTCGGGGTTTGGCCGGAGGTTTGATCGCTTTCTAGAGGAGAATTTGACCGGTTTTAAGGGAGATCTGACTGGTTTCTACTGCGATTTGACCGGCCTTGGAGGAGGGGGAATTTCTGGGGGCAAGATCCCTTTCTCGAAGGGATCTGACTGCTTCCCAACCCTGGGGCTTCCAGGCTTGCTTCAGGCGGATTGGAGGCAGCTGGAGTTTGGCCGCGCGACATGGAGTTGGGGGTCGGGGGGGTTCCCGGCTTTCTGGATGGCAGGTGCGAAGAACGATGGCTGAGCTTGATGTGCACACACGGCGACAAAGACAGTGCATGCAAGGACCACTGGAAGCCACCGAAACGTTCGTGGAATGAGTTGGAGTAAACTGCGAAACTGGCTCCTCAGTTGTTCAAAGCGAATGGACTTTTGATCGTTGAGTTTTCCGTTTTTGGTCCATAGCAAAGATCCCTAAAGGTAAACCTTTCATTGTCAGGTCCTTTGGGCAAGTGAAGAATTGAACTTGGGCTTCTGAACTCAAAAGGGCCAGCATGTCCACAAAACTTCTGGGCGCGCAGGTAGTTCCTTAGCTTCTTCCTTGGGACGCCCAAGTGCTTGCCCAAGGAGGCTTCCCGTGCTCCTCATGTTGACTTCTCGATCCGTCCTCTTTTTCGACAAAGCAACACATCACGACAACACGAAAAACTGCACAGGCTGGGGCTGTACCCCGTCTCAGCCTTGCCCAGAGCAAAACTTCGGCAGATCTTGGCTTCCGAGCCACGTTCCGTCGAACAAATTGGGCTCTGGATTCCGCCCGAAATATGTCTCCTTTGGGTCTTCGCGTAGTCAGGCAACCCGACGACTGAGATCATTTGATCTAGACTCTGTTCTGATCTGACTCAGTCAAATGCCGGAGTGCTTTGTTGGGTGACCGCAACGCTGCGAAGCGATAGCAGCTTGGAAACAGTTCATGTACTCCAGGCGAAGTATATCGGCATTGCGCAGGCTGTTGCACCCCGGTCTGGAGCCTTTTTTTCTTCCAGCTGGTTAAGAATATTTGTTTATTTTCCCCTGTTGGTTTTGAAGGGAATCTATCACTACTGGAAATATTCTTATTTTTCCAGGGGACTTATGCAAATGGAGGCTTTCACAGCCTTGCAAAGTCAGTTTCGGAGGTTTGTCCGGAACAAAGCAGACTTCCTCATGGATGTCACTTCCCTTGCCAGAAGGAGGAAAATTTGTATGGATATCAACCCTCCCCGCCAAAAAAAGGAACGAAGAACGACAAACCAAAGAGCTTTTCCTCTGGATATCACTCCCCCCCCCCCCCCGCTTCCCGGTGCCAGGACTGCGGGGCTCCGGTGAAGCGGCACTACCTGACACCCCAGGCCCGCTTGCCGCTTGAGCCACAAGCCTCAAGGTGGGCCTTTTTGGGGAGAGTCAGGGCTCCGGAAAAAAAAATCCATGTCAGGGGGCCGCAAGTTTGAGCCCTCGGTTCCATTTACTAGGGTTCCAAAATGGATACCCAGTTGTGACCATTTGGGCGTGGCTCAAAATTAAACAGGGAGGGACAAACCGCAGGTATTGGTCCATGTTTCCACAGGGTTCCAGTTTGGTACCGTTTTTTTTTGAGCCACAGCCATTTGAAACATGTTGCTTTTTCAACACCAACATGAAAGGGAAACCAGCATTGGCAAGGCAAATGTGCAGGTGTATAATGCATCCGGATCCCTGGTCAAAGGTAGGCCTTTTTGGGGGAGTCATGATAGAAGTGGAGTCTCCCACCACGGAACCTGAGGTTGTTTTTGGATCCCTTTAGGAAAACCAGGACCTGAACGTCATCCTGGGAGGGTACCTTGCGACCTATCATCTCCCCCAAAAACGGCCTGTCTTGGCGAGGCTTCAAGGCGTACCAGACGTTACCGTGCAAACATGAGGGATGAATGGTTGCCAGAGAAAGTCCAGACGATTGGAAGCTAGCGGCACCTCACTGAGACCTTTTGCCGAGTAAAAGGGGTTCTCGCAGAGCGTTGGCCTGGGATCATAGCCATGAAGCAGAGCGCATGTGCCACAAGACCCCAGAGTCCAACGGTGTCATTTACTTTCAGCGTGTATGCCTTCTCGGGTGGGATCCTGGATCCTTGAAGGACCTGAAGATGGTCAGCTTGCGTCGGGCATGTCTATGTGGAGGGTCACCTTCTCAGCGGTCAACATGCTGGTTGAAAGGATCAAGCTTGTTTCCATCAGCAGCTGATGCGGTTGAATATGTATGGAATCACCATCTTGCACAGAGTGGAGAAGAAGGACAGGCGGCCTGAGATTGGCATAAACATGCTACGGTCGGCCAAGCCTGTCGAAAAACGCCGAGACAACGTAGGGTTCTCTACGCCCCACTCGAGAAATCACGCCGCAAGGACGTGGCACCCCTGGTGGAGGAGCAGGAGCTGCTGAAAGGCCCCAAAGAGCCACCATCCACTCCAGGCGCGGATGTGTCAGGTCTCCGAAGGACAGGCAAGCAATCCAGAAACCAAACACGCGCGGGTCTAGTTGTGCCGCAGCACATTCGTGTGGGTGCTTGTGGATGAGAGTCTCTTTTTCGGGCCCGTTTCGGCGACATCGAGGTGCTGGGATAGCTACATGGTGCATGCTTTTGGCGGGCGACACACACAAACAGAATCGATTGAATTATTTGCAGAGCCTAGTTTAAGTCAGTTGTTCGTAGTTCTTCCATCCCTCTTGGATACCAGATGAGCAGTGTTTTTTTTTCTGGATGAAGACCCACATTTCCGCGGCGACATTTGTTACATGTCGCGTAGGCGTTTGACTGACAGAGCCATATCCGCGTAGGCGTGCGTAAGCATTTCGCGTAGGCGGCCGTTTATGAGCTTGAGCTGTCACGTAACATGTTGAGCATTCCTGTTACGCGAGACATGGTTGTGTGACCGTTTATGAGTGGCAGTTGGGCGCATGCTGTGGGTAGTAGGTTTTCGCCAGCTGTTTGCAGCATGACGGTGCAAGCTGGCGGTTGCTGGCAGAGGGAGGAGAAGGTTCACTTGTCCGCAAAGACCAGTTGTGCTAATAGGTAAAAGCACATTCCGGATTTCCAAACAAAAGCAGGCGAATTTCGCGTAGGCGCCGCCACGCCTACGTGAAACGCAACGCCCACAAAAAAACGCCTACGCCGCCTACGCGGCAACGAGGAGTTCGGCTGCAGGATGAAGCGGAGGTGAGCCACCAGGGGCCTCCGGTGCAAATTTGGACTAAATGCCTACGCGAACCGACGCAAAGCCTCCACCACACACCACCGAACAAACCGGACAGGACCACAGAGACGCAGATAAAAGGGAGGATATGAGATTTGTTATCCCGAATGAAGCAGGGAAGCAGTCCTGTTCTTTTGGGAACTCTGCAATACATGATTATTTCGGTTGCTGGTGTGTAGGGAGGGCAAAGTGGGGAATGATGAGAATAGTCACCGTTACTGTGTGCAAGCCTTGCGGCGGGGTGGCGAGGTGGAGGTAGCGCAGGAGATTGAGCTCGTTGAAGGGTTGGTCCTTGCATGTCTTAGCTGGGGAAAGATGTTTCCCGGTGTCTCGCTTTGTGCCAGAAACGCACAATACTCTCGAAGCAGGACTCAGCCCCATGGAAAAAGCCTACCCAAAGCAAGCCCAGTGGCGTTCAAAGCGCAACAACGTGAAGCCCATTCGTTTCCCTGTAGCATTCCAGTGCGCGCTGCAACTGCAAGCCAACCCTAAGACCACCCTAAAAGCCCCAAGCCAGCGTCTAACTTCGTTTAGAAGCCACCCACGCTGATCCTCTTTGCAGTGAATTGCATGACCAGGCTGAAGAGGAAACCCATCTACTCCGTACATTGTATAAGGTGATACGCATGGCGATGTGGATGACAAGATGTGGCAAGGCACACATGCTATTTTGACCTGAAGGGTCTAGCTAGCATCATTTGGATGCTGATTTTCGGCAAAGGAGAATGGATGATGTTCGAGGTGCTCAAAATTTCCGGCATGCTCGGACCGGGCTTGGTCAAAGCCCTAGCCCAGGCCGCAGCCTTTCGGCGCGATGAGAGATGAGAGTGATGGCGCCCAGGCGCCCGCGCGCCCTGTGTTTCTTTTTGCCGAGGCAGAACTTTCAGGCAACCCTTAGTTGGTGGTTTGGACGGTTTGGATTTTTGAACTGGATTTGGCAATCCAAACCACCCAGAGGGAAGCTGAAGAAAGGCAACCCCATAAGAGTCCGCCTGAAGCTATGCGGCATGCCCTATTTAGGGCAGTTCCCGATTGTCCAAGTCCCTCCTGCCTTGCCGTCGGCCGAAGTGGAAACCCAGTCAAATGTTGGGCACAGACATCTTTCTAAGCATGGGATGTTGAAATTTGCATTTGCCGCCTGATGGTATCGCTCTCCCTGAACTGTTCGGTATCGCTCCGGGCGCTGGGTAACACCCTGTTGGGAGACACTTGCTTTTGAGAGAGTATCCAGTCACAAGTAACATCAGTTTGTTCTTGTTTCGGGGTATGTGTCACATGCTTGCAAGCTACCACCACGCGTTGTTTGACCAACAGCCAGCTTCTATTGCCGCCTGCTTCAGTCCCTATGATTGCGAAGCGTTTGTTAGCACTTGTTGTTTTCCGTACAGCAGTTGCAAGCATTACACACGCATTCACTCAGGTGAAAGGTGGAATGTATGTTTTGACGTAAGTTTGTCGAAAATATGGTAACCCCAAAATGGCTTGCCCTGGTACAGGGAAAAATGGACTAAAACCTGCGGTCCAATTCCTGGTGGTTTGATTTTGACACATGCCCGTTTCACCCTGCAAAGAACTCGGTTGCCCGGTCTGGCAGTTTCGTGTTGCCACAGGTGCGAAGGCTGGCGGTTTCGGGTTTCTTTGAGCATGGCTGGTGCTCACATGTCCTGTGCCTTTGGGTTCACAAAGCGAACCCGGAGCAGAGCCTCAGTTGTTCAGTGGCCCCCTTTTTACCTTTTCTTTGGATGGCTGCCCCACTAAAATGGTCTTCCCAAAAAAGGGTTCCCTTTTTTTCCAGGGTCACTGAACAACTGAGGAGCTTTCAGCAGAGGCTTGTGCTTTCGGCCATCCGATGCCAAGATTCCAGTGTCCAAGTCGCGCCTTTTTACCCAAGCTGTGCTGCGAATTGGTTCACATCGCAAGGAAGAGGTAGGCAAGTAAGCAAGGGAGCGAGAAGTAAGCAGCCCAAAGCCAGTCCTAGCCCAAAGTAATCTAAGCCAACTCCAGACTATCAACCCTCCCTACATACCCAAACCCACCCAGATAATATTCATGTCCAGGGAAAGCCAACCTGAAACCAACCCAAAACCAATCTTAAACAATTGGCTACGCCTGAGCATGATCTAAACCGAAACTAAACCGAAACTACACCTCAACACAACCTACACTAATCTGGCCCACTGCGGACCAGTCGTAAGATAGCCCGAGACCAAATCAAACCAACATAAGACAAGCATAATCCAAACACAAACAATCCATTCTCAAATAATTATCCTGCACCAACCCCAGGCAAACGCGCATTGCAATCGCGGGCCAGACAACCAAACCCAAAAGCCAGTCCTAAACAAAGCCTAGGCCAAAACCACTCTGAATTCACCTAGCCCATCTCCAAACCTATCTTAAACCAACCTTACGCCAACACCGATCTTGACCGGAATAGAACCAAACTGAGTTTCAACCCGGCCAAACTACAATGTTTTTCAACCAACACCAAAACTAGCCTAATAACAAGTCTGAGCCTGTCCTAAAAGAACAGATCAAAACGGCTGCGGACTAACTTTGCCTAAACCAGTTTAAGGCAGCTAAAACCAACCGAAGTGAACTTAAACCAACCTTAATCCAACTCTCAACCCGAATGTCTAACCTCTCTACTAGAGGCCCTTTTCCGGTAGCTGGGAGTGTCAATGTATGGACTTCCACACTTAGCGATCTGCCCATTTTGGATAAGACCTCCAAGGGGCTCACCTGGTGGAGTGCTCCCTCCTTCGGAGGGCCAACACGGCACTTCTGCTTTGGTGCGGGCTTGGCTGAGTGAACCTGGACGTTGGGGACACGGAGAGACAGACGCAGGAGTCAAAGATGCCTAGTTTGGGATGAAGAAAAGGCATCCACATGTTTGGAGTTTAGAGCGTCGGCCGTGGCCATTTCGCGGCGACTCATTCGCGGGTATGTTGTTTATTTGCCTTGCCATCACCCCATTCAACTGCCATGGCCACCTGTGCGCGACATCGGAGAAGGCACCTGTAGCAAGTTGGTGTTGCCAAAAGCAACTTCTAGACATCTAAAGTGGCAATCCCATTGTAAAAAAAAGTCAGATCCCCGTTGTTGTTGTTGTTGTATCGTTGTTGATTGCATCGGAAAGCTTTGCTCGCTGCAAATTCAGGCCTGCATTCTTCATTTTGGAATGGCTCCCTGCCGTGTGCACGGCTGCACGGGGCGTGTCAGGCTAGGGCGACTGACAGGGTGGCGAATACGCCACCTGTGAAATTCTGAAATCATGAAGCTGCCGCATTCCCGTACTCCAGGTCTAGATGAAACATGCCCATATTTGCTCAGACTCCTATTTACCACCCGCATACGATCCACTGGCAAAAAAATCAGTTGCTTCTATTTGCATTGGTGTCATATGAGAACTTCAATCCATCAACTGCACTGGTGGAATTGCTGAACATACCAGAGCTGACTGGCTATCAATGACCTCATCTTGGCTGATGGGTCCTGCTTGATTCAGCCGATCCTGTGGGCTCTGAGCTGGTTGTACCAAGCCGTCAGTCACCTTTGCTTTTTGATGCGCGGCGCGCGTCGCGAGGTGTGTTTGCAAAGCACAAACACCAACCTGAGACCGCATCAATTGTGCGGGCACATATAAGTCGCGACCAAAGCGAGGAGTGGCCGTAAGCTTGCGATGATACAGATGAATGGTGGCCTCCATCAGTATTTTCCAAACTGTCCCACAACAATTGCAGGCAATGAACGTGGTTCCCCCCAAGATGTTGTTCTTGATGGTTTTGCTTAGCGACCTGTTCTTTTACGACAATTGGAAGCGCTGGGTTTGGTAAGAAGGAAGGGTAGTGGGTGCAGAGGACGATCGTCGGGGGAGTTGGGGCAAGATTGTACAGCGGTATGTCCCTGGATGAGCAAACCCCTTTTTGGATGCTCCTTACAAGGAAATGCAAACCAATCACCTGGACACCCCGCAGTCGACTCCCTGTAGTTCAGAAACTTGTATCCTGTTCAGGACTGCTTCGTGGCGCAAGTCTTAAAGTGGGCCACCCAAGGTCAAATAATTGGTTAAAGGAAACTTTGGTGCAAACTGCATGGACGAGCGAACTCGGGTTTCTGGATGGTTCTGAATTCAAGCGTGGGATCTTCAATCAATCTACCTTGGTCCCAGGATTATTTGGAGCAACTCTGCTGCCTATCGCCGCAGTCACCCCTGGCAATGGACTTGTGGGGGGCTGCATTGAAAGAAAAGAGGACCCTTAATTTTGATTCCAGGTTTTGGTTTTGTCTAGCACTGTGATTCTTTGCTCGGTATTGCTTCGGGGGTCCAATCGGATTCTCCTGACCAAAAACCAGGCCAAAAACCCAAGGGGTCGCCCATGCCCATCCATGCCCATCCCGCTGTGTGTTTTGGTGCGGGGGTATGCGTTTGGGAGACGTGATTAGAGGCTAAACGATTTTTCTCAAGTCTCCCCAGAGACAAAGTTGCTATACGAAATTTACAAGAGGATGTGCCCTTGTCAATTGTGGGTGCGGTTTCGCCACTGCATTGCCGAGAACTGCCTGAGCAACGCAAATGGTTGTATGCAATGCGACCCTTGCTGGATCTGACCCAACAGGCAGTGAATAAGCGCGTGCGTGCGTGCGTGCGTGCGTGGGTGCGTGGGTGGGTGGGTGGGTGGGTGGGTGGGTGGGTGGGTGGGTGGGTGGGTGGGTGGGTGGGTGGGTG